ACCGCCATTATAAAAACAGATAAAAAGACAAAAAGCCATAGTAATAAACATCATAAAAACCAAAATATTAAAGGGAGGATTAAAAATGACCTCCTCAGCCACGGAGCCATCAAGACAAATATTTGATTCCTGGGAGTCCCAGGCCTAGCAGTATAACCAGTGTCAAAAGCAATGGGACCAGTCTAATTTAAAATAAAGGATATTCTAAAAGGCAGGCACCATAGCAAAGAAGGCACATCTTCTGGGACCCACCAAATTTAAGTTCCCTAAGTAATGGTACCCATAACATGCCTTCTTTGTGAGATCTAATGGGGCAGGCTGATGTCACCTGGCTTCCTTAGGCACAGAAATTTCAGATTCTACCTTTTGGATTAGTAACTACTCAGTTCCTAGTTCTCCATACCTCCAGGACTTGCAATTGTTTGTTTTTCTGGCCTCCAGATAGCCTGACTTCATTTCCTAAGAGAAGCTGGAAAAAACATCTATCTAGTAGTTGCCAGCCAGCCATTCAGCAGTTTCCCAGTAGAGAAACCAAGATATCCTAAATCAACAACAATATGCTCACCTAGGCTTGGGAACTAAGTAGGAGCAATGATTAATACTTGGTCAGGAGATTTTAGAGAACTTCAGGATTGGAGGCAAAACCATGAAGTTGAAAAAGAACCCTACTGTTACAAAAAAACCTATAAGGATGTGTCTAAGAAGGCAAGAGTCGTTAAGCTCAACTTAATGAAGACTCAACTCCAAGACTTTTCATGGCACTAGCCTTTTCAAGGCTACTTGAAGCATGAACTTTCCTCTTCTGAGTAGTTTCCTTATAGCAAATTGTATTTTTTTAAAACTTAAATCAATTTTTAGTCTCAATGTCAGGGTTCCAAGTAACACCCCCAACAGAAATAAAACTCCAAGGCAGGCATCTTCCTCAAAGTCCTATTTTATTAGAGATGTCATATTGGCACATCTGGGAAAACCTGAATCTGACAGGCCCCTGGGTTTTCCCCACCCAAAGAAAAGTCAAAGTCCCTTCCCCTGCACCCACATGTCCATCATATGGCCCAATCAGGTCACTATCCTGACTGGAGTTGTTTCCTAGTTATGCCTCTTCAGGTGTAGGCTGAATGTCCTTGATTCCCAGGGAAAAGAATGTTGTTATGGCTATACATCTCATTCTGTCTCCATCCAACCTTCCCCTCCTGTTTCCCACAGCATGCCATCCACCAAGTGTGGCAGCCCTGAAGATCCAAAGTAAAAGATGGCCTCCAGGGCTGACACTCTGCTATTTTGATTGAAAAAGAATGGTTTATAATATGTTTGTATATATAGCAATCAGCCTTAAAACTGATAATCAGGGTACTGAAATATTGAATAGTATTTGCTTTTAGAATCATGAAAACTAAAGGAACCAGCATTTTATTTTTTAAAAAAGCTACAGATCAGTATCTAGTAGAATCAAGATAAAGACCTTGAAAAAGCTGCTGGGATGTATTTATATCTATAAAGATTAGAATCATGCAAGCAATACTTTTCCTGTGAAATTTGATGGAATTAAAAATTAGAGCTTGAAACAGTAAAATAGAAAGAATTCTGATTGCTTGTGAACTTTGGTGTTGAAGAAAACTCCTGAAATCAGGCAAATATATCATAGCACAAATTAATTCAGAGTTCTCATTTGACATGCAATGACCAAGCTGAAATTATATTATATGTTTGATATATTATGCAAAGACCTAACTCTCTGGAGAAATTCATAATGCCAAGAAATTCATAATGGCATGAACAAGAAAAGGCACAACCAGCAGGAAGGTGATTGGATTCCATGTTGGATGATCTAATATCCTGGAGAAAATCCATCTATGTGGTCACTAAGAGTCAACATTGATTTACTGGCACATAAGCAATATAGTGTAAGTCTTCTGACACATGGGTATGCATATAAACATGTGAGAAAGGGAAGGGAGGATGCTGGCTCCGCATATAGTATCCACACATATTTTGTTTAAACCATGGTCTGTTAAATAATTCACAGCTGAGTTATAGCTCTGTGTCAGAAATCATACCTGATAAATTACAAGAGTTATATAAAGTTTAAACGAAAACCAAACAAACCATATTATTGGCTTAGTACCATGGATTAATTCAGCCAGTACATATATATATAAGATGTGAATGAATGAATATGATAAATCAGATAATAATGTTTGATTGGAATTGTATATGATTCTCATTGCTTTTTATTATCTCATCTACTTTTCTTGTGTGATATGGAGTGACAAATTTATACTCATTGGTCTTGACAAACATGTAAGTGGATGGAAGAGTGGAAAGATACATAGTAATGTGCAATAAAGTGAAATGTAAGAACATTTGAATGTTCTGTGTTCCAACTAAATAAAATTTAAAAACATTTTCAGAGCTCTTATCATTGGGTATTTAAAATTAATGGAGCAATAGGAGATAGGTATTTGCACACACACACACACACACACACAAAATTGACCAAAATCAGCTAATAACTTAAACAATATTTTTTTAAAAAAATATTTTTAAAAAAGTCCTAGCAAACAGTGGAAGCAACCATTAAAGATGGTTTCTGAAACCTTTGCTTGCAGAAAAAGCAATAAAACTAAATTTAGCAAAGATGTCAATAGCAACAGATAGATTTCAACAAAGCTGATGAACCATAAACAAAAACCTAAGCGGCAATTGGTTTGGGACTTTTTTTTTTCTTAAACAAATAAAGCAACATAGTTTTTATATTTAGTAACCTGAATGAGCAACAGCAACACTATTTGTTAAGGCAACACACAATGCACTCTTTTGCATTTGTCAATCTGCCTGTCAAACAAAACAAAGTATTTTCTGTGTTTGGCAATCTGGCAGAATAAAGCACAACACAATCAGAGAACAAACAGTGACCACAATGTAACATGAGTTCACATGATTTAGGCCATGTATGTACAGAGATTCCAAACCTCATGCAATAAAGAGGCTTCTTACGGGTCTCCTCTCTTTTCCTTTTGACTTAGTTCATGCATGTCAATCAAATCCCACAGAATATTTGTGGCACAAGTATGACTCTCAGGTGCTATGTTTTCTATTTTGGGAAGATACCAACAAAGCTTTCTCAGTGCTTTTTTCCATTATCTAAAGCAATCTGATTGGTCAGTCTGAATAATTCCTGTCTAAGGCCTATGAAAAACAGTAATTCTTTCTCAATTATGAGACCAACATTATTCCTCCTACTCTTAACATTGCCATTGTCGAAATGGTTGAGAAAAAAAGCAAAAGAACTATAAATGGGAGGGAAAAAACTTGAGAACTACTATGTGGGTGGTAATAAAACATGTGATCTTGAAGCTATTTCAGAGAGTGAAGCCGAGACAGGAAAACACATGCTACTGAAAGGAAAAACCATATCAAAATATTGCAGAAAAGATCAAATATTTTTGTACCACTGCACTCCACATCCTGGAGCTCTTGATATATTTTGTTTCTAAAAGTTTCACAATTCTCACCCAGAAGGATTCTGCCTAGGATGCCTGAACAGTTTTGGGATATATTTGGAGCAGCCAGGAACAATTATGACATATTTCAGAAATTGGAATTCTACACAGTATTGCATTTGTGACAGAATATTATTTATATTCCCTAAATGTACTGAAACAACCTCAATAAATTGTTGCGTGCATTTGCAAAGATCCCATAGCAATAATTTAGGTTAAAAAAAATGCACGTGGTAGAACAATACAACTACACTGCTTCTAAAGCAATTAAAGAAGGACAATAATAGTGTCAGAATGATTTAGATTTTTTTTTTTAAAAAAGCCATAAGCCTGTGAGTCAAAATATCAATGGATTATGTAATTTATACATTAATGCCTAATGCCTACCATAGAAGACGGGAATGAATGTTTTTTGCTTGATAACAATTAAATTGTAGACATGCATTCTTACAAACCCAAACATGTTGCTCCCTTTTGGAGTAATAAGTGGTGTTATACCTTGTTTCCCTGAAAATAAGACCCTGTCTTATATTTTTTTGAACCCTGAAATAAGCGCTTGGCCTTTTTGCCATGCGCTCAAAAGCCCGATTGGGTTTATTATCAGGGGATTATCAGGGAATGTCTTATTTTGGGGGAAACAGGGAATAGCCCTGAAGAAAGAAGTAATAAACAAAACATATTAAAAGAAGCAGATAAGAAAAGGAAGCATCACTAAATCTAGTTTATACCAACACAATTGATTGCTCTCCAGGCATCTCTATTCTTTCCTGCTGTGAAAAGTTAAAAACATATTGTGAAAGTTTTAGATGTTCCTGACATTTCTTGCAATATAATCGAAACTGGAGCTTTAGGGCCAGCTTTATATAAGGAAGAAAAAAGGATACTATATTTGGCTATAAAATTTTTTGAAGGGGTTTTGCACCTTACCATTATTTCTATTTCTTTCTACATTTAATTCTATAATAAGTGTTAGAAAATGATAATGGCATCAATGGCATCTAATTCAACTTCTTTATGGTCCCATAGTAATTTGGACAAAAAAGTGGCTGTAACTTATTCTTACTGATTTGAATGAAATCTGACTCCAGCACCACTTAGATTCTTACTTTAGGTATACTTATTTATAAATAAATAAACTCAGTTTGGATTCTGACCAAGTTGTTTAAATTAGAAAAGGTTGTTTTGGCTGTATCTATTTCTCAAGTAGATTCCAGTAGTATTTCCTGTTTGGGCCAACAATTGCTTTATCTTTCAGAAATAGGTTTCTGCCCTCATCTCTACATCGTCACGGAAAGGAAATTAATTTTATCTGATCCAGGGCAAGACAATTCGAGCCAGGGAGAGGGGGACAGAAGCCTCTAGTGAGCATAAGCAGAACTTGTGTTCAAGGAATTAGTTTTCCTTTTTAATTGGATTGTGATGGTTTTCTTTTCCACATATTTAGCATCAACTTACTGGTGACAGAATCAGATTTTAAAATGCATGTGATTTACTTACGGAACTTTTAGCTTTGGAAACTTCTGAATATCATTTTCAGACAAGTTCTGAAACAAAAAAAAAAAGCAACATGCTATAATTAGGCACATGCCATTGTTTTAGTTACTGAGGATGATTATTCTAAAATAAAAATAAAATCTATTTTTATTCTAAAAATAAAAATAGAATTGCAATGATCACATGAGATCACATGTAACTTTCAACACATGCTGTTTCCTCATACCTTCACTTCTTCCCTAATTATTCACCAATACTCCTTTGTTTTTATTAGCTTACTTATTATCCATCAATAATGATTGATTGATTAACTGATTGCATACCCAAAGAGATTAGAACTTTTGACATATCTTTCTGAAAATTGTAGCAAGGTTTAAATGCTGTCCCTGAACTTTCTAGAGAATTAGATTAAATAATCCTTATGTTCAATTCCAGCTCTATATTCTGTAAATCTACAAAAGTATTGAAAAACTTACCAGAAATCTTTGTCCAGTTATGTTAAGTTTCCTAACAACTTTCTCGCAATCCTTGAAGTTTAACTGCAAATGAAGATAAACTTTGTTAATGATAAGAACACTTGTAAAAATCAATGTTAGCCTGCCATCCTCTACTCATATTTTTGGGGAGTAAATGCCGTCAAATTCAGAAGTTATACACAATTTTGCATTGTTAGGCTTGTACTGTTAATAATTAGAAGCATATTTGTAACCAGATTTAAACTGTCTGAATAAAGCATAACTGATTTATTCCCAAAAATTAGAGATGCTTCTTCAGAAATAACACTAACTTGAGTAGGAGTTATGACTCCAGAATTGTTTCTATAATGATAGCAGTCAGATGTAGTATTCAAGACTATTTCATCATCATCAACTGAAAGGTTAAAAACACAATTTGTCAGAGCTTTCAAATGCAGATCTAACCTGATTTTTTAGAGTGTTTTTATTTTAAAAAATAAACCTTAATTGCAGAAGAGATTGTATAATTTTAGCTCTAAGATCGTAACTACTCACAGTGAGAAGAGTGCTATAAGATTTTTTAAATTGCCATTTAAGTAGAAGTTCAGTGAAATGTGTCTTCTGTACAGCTTCACACCTTGTACAGTTTCACAATTTATTTAGCCTTAGCAAGCTTCTATTAATGTATTTGCTTTACTATTTTCTTGGTTTGTTTTCTTCTAAAAGAGCAGGTGGAAGAAGGCTTTTGCCCAGCTTTGGCTAATATTCAGTCAGGAGGCTCCAACAAAGATAACTTCCACCTTGATCAGTACACATCTGGATTACTGAAAGGCATTCTATGTGGATCTGCCTTTGGAGACAAATCACAGCTGATACAGAATGCAACAGTGAGAAGAGTACCATAAGAGTGCTATAAGCTAAACCACTGACATGGCCAGCTTGTTACTGCAGAGTTATTAAAGTATCACTCATAAAGTTGCAAATAACATAACACTCAGATATATCAGGAACCAACCACTTTTCATATGAATGAGTCTACCATCATGTCCGAATATCTAGTAAGGGCTTGCTGAGTTTCCTATCCACTTAAGAGGTACAGCCAATGTGGGCTAGGAAGCAGTTTTTTTCAGTAATATCTCTAAGACAGTATTTTTCAACTTGGCAACTTTAAGATGTGTGGACCAACTCCCAGAATTCCTTAGCTAGCATTTGTCCCATGCTTCCCTGTCAGTGGTGGGATTCAATTTTTTTTTACCACTGGTTGTGTGGGCGTGGCTTGGTGGGTGTGGTATGGCTTGGTGGGCATGGCAGGGGAAGGATACTGTAAAATCTTCATTCCCTCCCCACTCCAGGGGAAGGTTACTGCAAAATCCCCATTTCCTCCCAATCAGCTGGGACTCGGGAGGCAGAGAATAGATGGGAGCGGGGCCAGTCAGATGTGGTATTTACTGGTTCTCTGAACTACTCAAAATTTCTGCTGCCGGTTCTCTAGAACTGGTCAGAACCTGCTGAATAACCACCTCTGTTCCCGGTTCTCCCTAAGGCAATTAAAACTGTCCTATTCTGATATGCCTTTGACTTTGAATAGTGGAATTCATTATATTAATTGGTATACTAATTCATGTTGTAATTTTGTTTAGTTTGTGTTGTCTTGTTTTCCTTGCTGTATACTATCCAGAGTTTGATGGCAAAAGTTTACAAATATTGATAATATTTTTAATGGTTTCTCCTGTGCATAGCCATTATCTAACCACCCAAAAGCAAATCTGAGTGCAGAACAGTTTCATTAGGCCATTGCTAGTGGCTGCAAATTCAACCTGAAGAGGTGTGTCACACGACAGAGGCAACATAATTCTTCGCACTGAAGTGAAAAAATAACTATAAGTATAATACTTTACATTATCTTAAAACTTTCTCCAGGAATCCCACAAGCAAAAAGAGTGTTTTGCACATGCATCAAGAGATTGACATTCATCCACAAAAATTTCTTCTACCAGTGGGAACTGCTGGATGATGCTTTTAATTGAAACAATGTGACTACATAAGTTTGGTTAAGAAAGGGCTTGCTGGGGGGCGGGATTCAATTTTGAAGAACTTTTGTTCTCATTATGTTAATTGGATATGTTAAGAGTGAATGGGAAGCTCAGACAAACAGTCTATAAACCAAGACATAGAAACGATGTTCTGTTTTTTCCCCCCTAAATTTAAGTTCAGTTTTAAATGAATTCACTACATTTCATTACAGGTTACATTATATTCATTATGGTGAACACCGAATTCATGAGAGTTTCCTGACTGACTGAAATCTCTCTTCTTGAACCAAAACATAAAACATCTCACTCATATCCTTGTTGAGATTTTCTTCCAGCAGCATACATCTTAGCCAGAGGAATAAAACGGATCCCTACTTAGTGATCATAAATACATGCAACAGTTCTCAGTACAAAATCAGAGTCCCACCCTCTAGCAAGATAGTAACTAAAGCATAATTCTTACACAATTTCACCCTGAAGAATGGTCCAGAAAGGTTTTTGAGTCCTCAACACTACTCTAAAAGACTAAGAGAAGTCAGAAGTCAAATATAGGACCAACATAGGTGGCAAGATAGGTATGGCATAGGTCAATCAAGCAGTTTAGCTCTCAAAATTATTTTAGAAAATACAAAAATAATAAATATCTTGATATTCCTAAATAATAAGGAATCAAGTAATAATTCAGGAATCAAGTAACATTGATATTACCACCAAAGGGCTTCATCTAACTCACAGTTGTCAAACTTGCTCTGTCACGTTGTCGTCATGTGACATTTTGTGATGTTATTCCCATTCGCAGAACTGGGGTGGGTATGGCCTGCGCATGACGCATCCAGCCTGCGGGCCACCAGTTTGACACCCCTGATCTAATTGGTAAATTTGACACTGGCTGGTAGTCTAAAACAGTTATTACAAAGACAGCTTTTATATTTTAATTTAAGGCAATTAGATTGATTGATCGACTTCTGTCTGTAAGGACAGAACATGTTGCTCAAGTTGAAAAGTAGTACCAAGAAAAGGACATCTAAGGAAACTACTTCTTTACAGTTATACAGGAGATGATCTAGCACTAGAGAAAACAACAACCCAGGAAGAAAAGACTGAGATGGTTTGCAGCAACTTTCCATATTGTTAGTTAGTTATAGATAGTTAGGACTGCAGAAAAAACAATTGCAACCAGCCTGCCTTCCATTGAGGATCTGTATACTGCATGGCCCAGAAAGAGGGCTGTGAAAATATTTACAGACCCCTCACATTCTGGACATAAATTGTTTCAACTTCTCCCTTTATGTTGTCGCTGTGAAGCATTGCATGTCAAAACAACTAGATACAAATATAGTTTTTCCCCCATGCCATCACTCTACTGAACATCTAATTCCCACAGCACTGTCTTAGTCCTCAACATATTTACCCATATAGTAGGCTATACTGTTATTATCATTATCATCTCATCTTCTCATCTTTCCACTATCTTTTCCTATTGGTATCTTATGATTTATCACTTGTTGTGGTATCTTATGATAAATGATTGTAACTATGACCTATGATGTATGATCTATCACTTTGTTACTTGTATGTACACTGTAAGCTTATACACTGGAGACAAATTTTTTTGTGTGGCCAATCACACTTGGCCAATAAATCTGCATACAGATGGGAAGTTGAACAACTTGCCTCATGGTGCTACTGGAACAATCTGGAACCGAACACCTTTCATTGAGACCTGTATACTGCACGAATCAAAAAGAGGGCTGTGAAAATATTTACAGACCCCTCACATCCTGGACATAAATTGTTTCAACTCCTACCCTCAAAACGACGCTATAGAGCACTGCACACCAAAACAACTAGACACAAGAACAGTTTTTTCCTGAACGCCATCATTCTGCTAAAATAAATCCCTCAACACTGTCAAACTATTCACTAAGGCTGCATTATTATTACTATTAGTCTTCTCATCATTCCTATCTCCTCCCACTTATGATTGCATGACTGTAACTTTGTTGCTTGTATTCTTATGATTTATATTGATATTGTTTCGTAGTATGATTTGATTGCTTATTTGTACCCTATGACTATCATTAAGTGTTGTACCTTATGATTCTTGATGAATGTATCTTGTCTTTTTATGTACATATGTACCAAAGACAAATTCCTTGTGTGTCCAATCACACTTGGCCAACAAAGATTTCTATTCTATTCTATTCTATTCTATTCTATTCTATTCTATTCTATTGCTGATTGCATGATCAACCACTACATTGAAAATATGGCAAGTAAAGCTGCAGGAAGGCCAAAAGTTGAATAGGACTTTGCATAGCAACCCACTGCTGATCAATTCAGAATTCTCTAATGCTTTAAACATCAATGTGCTGAAAAAGTCAGTCCCTAATTTGACCTGATGCTAAATTAACATGGGTGGCATTCGGGGAACCCACTTTCAAAAATATTTGAACTATAATATTTGCACCCCACAACAAACAACTTTTCTATTTCTAGAAATCCACTCTGCTAAAAAGTAGAGCATGTATCCATAAAAATAAATTCCTCATATCAGTCTCCATCTGAGAGTCAAAGCTCCCAGTCACACTTTACATTCCTACTAGGAAAAGAGTGAGAATTCAGATGTTATACATGTGGAAAGGATTCTACCTAGGCAGAGCCATTTGGGTAATTGGCCCAAGGGAAATGGGAAGAAGTTTTTGTTTATGAAGTGCAAGACAGTGTTGTCATAACAGAACTGCTCACTGGTGCTTTAAAAAGTGTAGAAATAAAATAGTCAATGCCTGTGTAATTTTGGTTTTGGTTTTGGAATCACATTTACAGTATTTACTGGCAGAAAGATAAAGTTCTTTCCTCAGAGAAGTATTTACAAATTCTGGAAAGGAGGGGAAGGTGTTGAGATCAACCTAAATTCTGCTGAAGTCAGTACTGTAGAAGAATCTGTTCAAAACAAAGGAACTGCCAAGTGTAGATGATAAAAGAGCTTGTTTCTGAAAAACTGGAGGCCTTGAAAATTAGCAAATCACCAGCTGCTCATTTGATTAATTTAACATTAGTAAACACTGATACAAGACTTTTGTCTGAATCCTAGATGTATTTTGGATTCATTGACCAGATGTCCTTTATTACAAAGAACAGTCCTTTATTTCAGAAAGCTGAGTTTTAGATTTGTTTATTTTTTAAAAATTTTCTTGGTCTGGCTCTTAGATTGTCCTTGCAAGGCAAAGTTATAAATATAAACAATTGATTTTTTTTTTATGCTTATGAACCACTTTCATATTTGTTCCCCTTTTAGGTCTGTCCTTTGTTTTTTCCCAAGAAAATATGGTCACTGTAATTTTTTCCAAGAAAATATGGTCACTAGAAGAAGCTAATGGAACATATGCTATTTCCAGAAGTTTCCAAGTTCAATCCCCACCACCTTCACGTAAAGAAACAGGTAAGAGAAGGAAGAGAATGAAGATGAGATCCATCATTTATTAATATTGTCAACTCATACTGTAATGTAGAAGCACATGAAAGAAATTTGACTTTTAATATGCAGAGGGCATGTAAATCAAGCTCTTTCAGCAAACACAATATTTTGTGGCTTTGTGTAATTGTTGAGCCCTGGCCGGGACTTGACAATTTGGGGGTCCCACGAGAGTGGGATACGCGGAGGCTACCTGTAAAGAAGCTGCGACGGTGGTGGGAGGCAATTCAGGTGGCGAGTGGATGGCAGGCATTGAAAGGCTGTCAGCAAAGCAGCAGGAGATTGATGACAACTGCGGGAAGGTTTCTGGCTCCCGGCATGGTCTGACAACTTGTGATGATGTCTCAAAGTGCCAGAGTGCCGCGGAAGGGCGGGAATCGCAAAAGACCCAACGGACAGCTAATGGAAGGGTGGCTTCAAACACCAGATGCTGGCTAACCAAACCTAAATGTATAAATAGCGCTGAGAGGTGGTTGCTCTCAGCGCTGACTTTGACCCGATCACTTGCTTTGTCCTGCCTGTTGGCTGTGTTCGGCTATTAAAGCTTTGCAACTATCTTCATCTGCTGGTCTTTATTTTGAATCGCACAGACCCGGAGCAGAAAGGCCAAGAGTAATATTTTGTGTGCAATCTTTTGTGCAAAACTAGAATGAGCAAAGCCAGATATTTTGTGCAAAAGCTGGTTGTCTGCTGAGATTTTTTTCATAAAAAGAGTACAGACCACAAGTCTGCAAAGGCAATGCAAGAAGGGTATATCTGGAGAACACAAAAGCAATTAGTAAAAAAAGGAGAAAAGAACAAGAAATCCATCCTCAAGTTTTCCAAAGAACTTAATCTGTACATTCATTTGAACTACACAGAATTGTAGTCTGTTGCTGGGCCACTGCAAAGTTGTCACTCGAGCTTGATTTATTCTTGACTATTGCCTGGGGGTATAATAAAGCTGAAAGAGACTAATTGAATCTGTCAAGGTTAGAAGACCTGTAAGTCCAAGGTAGTGTAATTGTCAATGCTCCTGCTGTCTCCACTCCACTCTAATGAAGTCTGCCACTTGGTTTAACTTCTCTCTGACTGCTAACATGGTATTCATCTGCGAAAGCACATTGCTATGAGTTGTAGGAAAAATAAATTAAGTTGTCGTAGCCACATAGTGCAATCAAGGCAGAAAGTGCTGTGTCTCCTGAAAGCTACATCAAGCTGAGCCTGAACTATTGGCCCTAATACTGTGGGGTTACTATTTGTAGCACCTAGTCACTTATCATAGTTAACATGGTATTAAAGAGAAAGTGATTGACATAAAGGGATGGAAAAATAGGACGAAACTTAATGAGACTGCAAACTATTTCTAGAATTAAAGTCTTTTTAATGCCCACTGATGGCTCTAAAAGCCATGTTCAAAACTCTGCAGTATACTACACAATCTATGCACACTGTAATTCAATTTGGGGAAAGGGGAGATGGCATTTTATGGCAAACACAAGCAGCATTCCACATTTGCTACACAAGAGCACCAGTGTGTGATCATAAGAATGTCCCCTTCCTGGCACAGCAATAGCTCTTTGCAATTTGGTTCTTATCCTTCTTCCAATAGTTATAAAGCTAAAACACCAAGCTATGCAAGAAAGCCTTCTCAGAGAACTTTAGAAAGCACAACCAAATGCTTCTTTTTCTCACCAGGCATTAATGGTGAGAAATGTGTCTTTTGCTTAAAGCCTTTAATTATGGCCCTCCAAATCAAAAGTCAGCTAAGTTTCAAGCTTTGCTTTGAGGCAAAAATGTTGCCTCTCTCTCTGAAGAATGTGTAGGCCAAGAAAGAAAGAAAAAAGAATTAGCCTTGTCCTCAAGGCCTAGATAGATTTAGATCATGATACAAATAAAGAGCCTTCTGGTGAGGGTGAAGGAGAGTGCAAAAGTTGGCTTGAAACGCAACATTAAGAAAACTAAGATCATGGCTTCCGGCCCTCTCAATTCCAGGCAAATAGATGGAGAAGAAATGGAGGTAGTGACAGAGTTTACTTTCATGGGCTCCACAATCACCGCACATGGGAACTACAGCTAAGAAATTAAAAGACGCTTGCTCCTGGGGAGGAAAGCTATGGCAAAGTTAGACAGCATACTAAAAAGCAGAGATATCACCCTACCAACAAAAGTGCGTATAGTCAAGGCTATGGTTTTCCCAGTTGCAATGTATGGCTGTGAAAGTTGGACCATAAGAAAGACTGAGCGCCAAAGAATTGAGGCCTTTGAACTATGGTGCTGGAGAAGACTCCTGAGAGCCCCGTGGACTGCAAGGTGATCAAACAAGTCAGTCCTAAAGGAGATCAACCCTGACTGCTCTTTAGAAGGTCAGGTCCTGAAGATGAAACTGAAATACTTTGGCCACTTAATGAGAAGGAAGGACTCACTGGAGAAGAGCCTAATGCTGAGAACGATTGAGGGCAAAAGAAGAAGGGGACGGCAGACAATGAGGTGGCTGTATGGAGCCACTGAAGCAGTCGGCGTGAGCTTAAATGGTCTCTGGAGGATGGTAGAGGACAGGAAGGCCTGGAGGAAAGTTGTCCATTGGGGTTGCGATGGGTCAGACATGACTTTGCAACTAACAACAACAACAAATTGAATGTAAATAATGTGGCTTCTTGTAACTTTGAATCTGGAATGGCAGTCATTCACTCACACTTTACAGAGAGACCATATGACTTTATTGCCAATTAGTAGAATTCTAAGCTCTTATTACAAATAAGTGGAGAGAGTGTAACAGATAATAATAATAATAATAATAATAATAATAATAATAATAATAATAATAATAATAATAATAATAATAATAATTCCATTTCTCCCTAGATGCAACCTAATATACGATATTCTTTGGGAAGGATCACTTTGGAAAGCTGAAATTACATAAAAAACATATATATACAGAAAAATATGTTTTCTGTAAACAAGGAAAAGAGACAGAATCTCAGGCTTTCCAATGAAGAAAATTGGGAATGCTAATTGGAAAGGGTAAAGATGACAGTGTTCAATTAAAATGAAACTTACCCTCCTAAAGTAGTCTCCCAAGTCATTGGGCGACCAGCGGGCCACTTCGGAGCGATAGGGTGTGCTTCGTAAATCCATTTCTGGTTCTGATTAGTCAGTTAGGAAGCAAAACATGTTAATCTTTGGCTGTGACACACTGTAGGATATTGCCTCAGCAGCAACGGAGACAGGAAAAATGTGGCAGATCCACGGAATTCATTTAAAAGAAATTGAACTCCTGGGTTTGGGCTTTCCTTAGAAGTGTGCTGCAACTGAAGACAGCAAAGCTTCCGGTATGAGCTGAACGGTTTCTTTCTCAGAAAACCTGTCAGCAAGCAGCTCAGTTTCACCACTTCCTTTTCTGAATCTAAATACATAAGTAAGGAAAGAAGGTGGTTCAATTCCATTATTGCAAAAGAAGGCTTGAAAATCATGTTACCCTTGAGCAAAGACATTGTTCTGCTCAAATGTGAGAAGCTAGGGATCAACACAACTGGGGGAGTCAGTGGCTTTGTGGAAAAGAACATGATAACATATTGAGACTGCAGAATGGGATTTTTTAAAAAAATTCATGACGAAAAAGAAAAAAGGAGGACTCACATAATAATAGGAAATGAAGAAGCCAGAATAAGTCTTCCTCTGTTCCTCTCTCACTTGATGACATAATCACTTGAATGAAATTTATTGTATATGTAAAATAGCATTTCAAAATTTGACACTTGTCTTATAATTAATATAACCATCCTGCTCTGGGGTGACAAGACAGTTTGCAAATAGCTCTAGTTCTTTAGCAAAGTTGAAAGACAGCCAAAGATTAAGTGCAAAAAAATAAAGACAGCCAAAGATCAAGGGCATAATCTGAAAGATTATGTTGAGCCACTAAATGAAGCCTAGACTTATTTATTGAAGCCCTATTGAATAAGCCACAATGATCAGGCTTCACAGTAAAAATAAATAAACAAATAAAACAAATAACATTTAAACTAGAAATTGTGTTTTGTAAATAAGACCCTGGATGCAGATCACACCCAGCTCATTTTGATTCAGTATAATGGATAAGTCTAATCAAAGATGCAAGTGCAAGTGTGTCTGTGTCACAGACACTATCCTAACGTCATGCTGCTACAAAATGAAAGTGCATGTGTCCAGAAGGAAGGAAGGCGAGGAAGAGGAAGAAGAAGAGGAAGAGAAAAAAGTTGAAAACCACAATTGTGCAACTGAAACTCCATTGTCCAATTTTTTGGGATCCATCCCTGCAGATGCCCCTTCAGTTCAACTTCAACTGTTAAGTCTTCCAATTTCTTTCAAGTACTATGCAACGTGCTATGCAAATACAAAGTAAAGATATGAAAAAAAATAATAATTATAAGGAAAGAGAATAAGGGATCAATAAAATCAAAACCGTTTTTTGTGTTTATTTTTGGGTGATGTAAACGTACATTAAAATAAACCCTTTGTTAGATTTCTTCTAGATTTCTCTTTTCGCAATTACATTAACAACTGGGTTAGCATCCATTAGAAGTTACTGCAAGTTACACATCTTATCTCATCCTATGTTACAGTTATGAATATTAAAATAGTATAATGATGTTTAAAGATTATAATCACTGTGATGATCTTTTTACTTCTCTTTCGTATCAAGAAATAGAAAAATGAATAATACGTAGTGCCCTGCATCACCACAAGAGTGCAGTCAAACTCAATTCTTCTCACACACATATGAGACTTGTTCATAATATGAATGAGGAGGATTTCAGCATTCAAACTTGCAAAACACATGCATTGTCACAAGATGGGCTGGGGAGGTGCCTTCTAAAAATATTGAGTTCCCATAGTTTCTAGCCTGCAAAGGTATTTAGGGGAATACCCTCTTTATCTTTGACCTTGAGTTTTTCTTTTTTGAAAAATAGACAAAAGCGAATTCATTAAAACCTTTTCTCCATTTTTCTTTTGTAGCTTTTTCTAATGTTACAACTGTTGCATACAATTCTTTGATCTATGTAGTTCTTAAAAGTTAATTATCTAAGATTTTTTTAAAATTGCAAAAATCTTTGATGTTATTCTTTGTTACATAATATACAGAGGGCTTTCAAAATTGTAGAGAATATTCGTAGCTCGGTTAGTAGATTTAGGCAGAGATCTGTCCTCTGAGCTTGGCTCCCAGATGTTTCATTACCAAACTAAGTAACATCTTCAGTGGGTCTGAGCTGAAATGTTTTTTTTTTTTTTTCATTTATAAAGTGTCTTTTTCCTGCCTGGTTGGTTGGTCTTGTGACTGGTTGAATCACAAGACTGATTCTGGTCTTGTGACTTATGATTGGTTGCTGTGAGGTGTGAAATTCAACTGGTGAGGGGGTGACCCACTTCCTTATTGATTCATATGCTGGTACTAAGTCAATGTGTTTGTTGATAGACCCGTTGGTATTTGGCAAGTTTTCGACCGCAATTGAGCCCAAAATTTCTGTGGTTAAGTGAGATATTTCTTAAGTAAGGCTTCCCCATTTTACAACTTTTAATGCCACAGTTGTTAAAGAAATCACTGCAATTAAGTGAATCTGACTTCCCCCATTGCTTTGGCTTGTCAGAAAACATCTGGGAAAATTATAAATGGTAATCACATGATCCCCCTCCCCAGACAGTACAACTGTCATAAATACGTGCCAGTTACCAAGTGCCCAGATTTTGATCACATGATTATGGGGCTGTTGCAACGGTCGTAAATGTGAGCCTGAGTCATAAATCACTTTTTCAGTGCTGTTGTAACTTTAAACAATCATGAAATGAATGGTTGCAATGCTACCTGTATATTTCCCAGTGTATATTTCTGAAGTATATGCAGTGACAGTGTTTTAGAAATAGGTGTTTTTTGCAGTGATCTGTCATAAACAAATATGTTTTGTGTAGGTTTCTTCGGAGAAAAATGGACAGTAAGAACCAGTAGGATAGTCAGCCCAGTATTATTGTCTGTTCCATGGCAGGTACTTTTTTCTTCTTTTTTAGTGGCTTTTACAAAACTGAATTGAACAGCCATTCTATGATGGCTTTTTTAAGGATTAGGTGAGTGATGTTCACTTTTTCATGTCACATGAAAGAGTGAACGCTACTCACTTAGTCCTCCTGTTAGTCCTTCCATCATTGAAGATGTTTGAAGTCTTTTTAACTTATTATTTGACCTCTTATCGCAAGCTGCACAGTTCTCAGGTTTGAAATGACTAACTCACTAGGATGCACTAACTCAGATATGGGATTACTACAGTGGAATCTGCAAGGAGATCCCAAAAAGCCAAGATGGGTATCACATTCAATACAAATGAATCCCCGTCCCTTTTGTAAATGCATGCATCAATATCACACATATTTACAAAAGATTAGAATGGCTCTGACACTTCTGATCTTTCATAAGGTCTTAAAAGATTCTGGTTCTGTTCCACAGCCCATTGCCCTAAGTGTGTGAAGGGTCCCATCTCTTGGCTGGGCTAACAACTATTGATTGTGACATCTTCCTTGCTGTGCATTTTAATATTTGTATTTATGATGGGAGTTTTAATTTCTAATTGTTGTTTAATAATTTTGAAATTATTTTAAGAGTCTTTGCCCAGCAAACAATCTTAAAATAATGTGTGGCATACAAACATACAAATACAAATTTGTATGTACAAATACAAATAAAGGAGCGGCGCTTCAGCTGAATAGTGGCAACTACCATCTTTACTTTTTTTTTTTTTTTTAGATCCTTTGCAGCCCCACTGGGTTATTTTACTTAAAGCCACTTAACTCTCTCAATTTTAATGGTGTTGTTCTTATTAGTCAATAAAAGAGATCCCTCCAATCCAATCCACAGGCAATTATTTGAGGTAAAAAAAAAAATCCTTTAGAAATAAAATGTGTGCCATATAGCTGATATATTATACACTTTCTGAATCATTAAATATTTCCCTCACTTTACATAAAGGAAATAAATGTAGCTAAAAACAGCTATGGGACAATTTCAGTAAGTGAATGAATTTCTAAACTGAGAATTAAAAATGCCAGAATAAGTTTAATTTAGGCTCCAATCCAAAATTCAACACTACAAAAACCAACCAAACCAATAAACGGAAGCACCCTAAATCTAATAGACAATTTGCATTCTGTATGTTGAACTGAGTCAGTACTAGTTATTATATGGGTAATCTAAAGTTTAATATTTTTTAGAACAGCAGATAAGCCTACTAGTCAGATTATAACACTAGGCGCCTAGAGTTCTTCATGGCATGCCAGAAAGCCTTGAAGATTTTGTTGTTTTTTCAGACTTTGAGTTAAGAGGAACAAAGTCCCTTGTTGGATGTGTTTTTGTCTCTTTTTGTATCGAATGAATGGATCCTAGCTTCTTTTGATCTGTACTGGTTGTTATTTATACATAGCTTCGATTTAATACCACAATGTAGCCCAAAATTTCTGATGCTAAGTGAGACAGTTGTTAAGTGAATTTTTACCCATTTTACAACTTTCCTTGACAACTTGAAGTTGTTAAATTAGTAATTTTGGGAGTTTTTGGAGCTTTGACTTACTGAAGGAAACCCCGGGCTTTTCAGATTCGGGTTAATGTCAGCGTTCCAGAAAAACCCCAACTCCAAGTAAAGACGCAGAAGCAAACATTTTCCAAAGTTCTCTTTACTAGAATAGACAAACTGGCACAACTGGGAAAACCCGAATCTGAAAAGCCCGGCATTTCTTTCAGTAAGTCAAAGCTCCCAAAACCATCCCCTTTTCCCCCCAGTCGGTCACATGCTCCAATCAATGTCCACTCCATCTCGATCCAGCCCCCTGACCACTCCTTCTCCAGATGCTGGATTGCCCTGACCTTGACCGACATAAGAAATAAGAATGCCTATTATGTCTACTAACAAACCCACTCCTTAATCCCCCCACACACAAGATGGTGGCAGCATTGGAGCTTCCGGTCTAATATGGCTTCCAAGGCTGACAAGTAACATGGTTGTCAAGGGAATATGGCTTCCCCATTGATTTTGCTTGTCAGAAGATCACAAAAAGTGATCACATGACCCAGAGACACTGCAACTGTCATCAATATGAGCCAGTTGTCAAGCATCTGAATTTTGGCCATGTGACCATGGGGATGCTGCAAAGGTCGTAAATGTGAAAAATGGTGATAAGTCACTTTTTTCAGTGCTCTTGTATCTTGAGAACAGTTGTAAGTTGATGGCTATCTGTATTATTATTTATCTGTTGTAGGTGACACTGTGAGTCATTCAGGCAGTGCCTATATTTAGACAAACAAAGACAT